TATCAAGAGATGATAATCAATCTCTCAAATATCCGTTTATTGGCAGTATGTAGTTCGTGTTTTCATTAAAAACATTAATCGATAATCATATGTAGAAATCTGCTTTCTGGGTTTATTTCCTATATAACTAATGAAAATCAGCTACTCAAAGCTTGATAGTACATTCAAAGAAGAGCTCTTGGCGCGACAGCAACTGAGAGAGATTGAAAGGAAAGAAACAAAGCAGGAACTATAACCAAACCAAAGAATCATCTACGGTAACTTTTTTTCTTATTCTCATTTTGAAGTTGTCATAACTACTTTTCGTATTCATATTCATGCAATATTTCTTGAAAAAAAACAGCCTTCGCTACATAGTTTTTACAAGTTAATACTCTGGAAGTGTGTAACTGATCCCCATTCTAAGCGTCTTTGGCTTTTCATGTTAGTTTCACTTCGGTTTACTTCCTGATGAAATGGTAGGGGGTGGTCAATTGAAGACCAAGCCAGACATCCATCAACTAAAACGGGACCACGACTATAATGAAATAAAAGCTTGTCCTAATAATCCTCTTCATGTTTCATTTACGAAAAGCAAACAAACTGTAACTGAATAAGTACAGCAATAATACCGGACGATATGTGCCACGGAATCTTTAGTATTGAGGAACTTTTAAGGGTAGTCGTACTGACTAGATATGTTTTTCCCACACCGACCACATCACATCACTTTTCCGCGGTATAAGATATATACTTTCACGGCAAAGTATTTGTACAGTGGGTTGATAACTCAAATTTTAAAAGAAGCCAATAATTACAAATGTAAGAAACATTTTACACCAAAATAAAACGTTATTTTTGGTGGGATACAAAAATATGGCAGTCTGCAAATGCCAGCCTGATGAATGGCGAGACAGTTTCAAAAGTTCCTTTTTTTTTCAATGCCTTATTAATCCTTTTTTAACTTACGTACTTTGGCTGACTTAATTTGGGATAAACATTCGTTAGAATTCTATAAAACGTCTGTATTCCCATAATGGGATAAAATAAACAGAAAAAAAATCTATAATTAATTGTCTGCATTTAGGAAAGACTTAGGACTCTGGGGATGCCAGGGAGAAGAATGTGTGGTTGTAGGACGAGAGAGCGAATTTTCTTCCTTATTTTAGCAAAGTTTTTTGCTACTTCAGGTACGCCAGTATAAAAATGATGGGGGTGCTATGACTAGGTACCTCCTAGGGATAGAGTGTGTGGGTTGGTAGCGAATACAATGCTTGAGGAAACCTAAAATGACCGCAGCCTTTTAAGCTGTATGCGGTGGTATGGACCGTACAAGGGTGAAAATTATTTGTTACTCATTTGATTCAGGGAACTTCAAGAGGTTAAAATGAATCTCAGCCTCGCCCTCGCTAAGAGGTTAAGATCCTTTCAGGCCCCTTCTTTTTATAGGGGGGTAACCGTGGCCCCGGATGTTACTTTGAATTCGTAATTTTGACAAATATTCACCTAATGCTGTTGACGATCTCCACATCAGCGTTTTATCTTCGTTCTCGGTTTCAGCTATTTATTTATACTGTTACAAAACTTACGCTATTCATCTATAGCTTTTAAATTTCACGCAGAAATTTTAAGTTCCTTTTCATAACTATTGGAGATAAAATAGTCTCCAATCAGCGAGAAAACGTGATTTTTAATCCGTCTGCTGCAGATAATTGGAATTAGCAATTAAGGGAAAATTTTGTTTTGTCCCTTTAATATGAAAACTATTTGCAGTACTGCAAAGATCGCATTGGGTACTGTTGCGTAAAGAGAATGATTCATGAAAAATTCATGGATGTTAAAAAGTTAGCTTTCAATTAAAAATATTAGGCAGTAAGCATAATATGCATATTTCAATAATTACAGATTGAACAACGCGTACTTCATTTTTTTCATCATAATCATGAATCATTATTATTGAGTAAATAATGTAGCCTGCTATTCCTCTTAAAAATACATATTGTGGAGAATGGCCTGGCCAGGACAACTTTGAGTTTTGAGTTTGAATCAATCACTTAGCACACTTTCGAAACAGGAACAAACAAGGTACGGGGCACTACTAGTAGATGATAATCACTAGAATTGGTGCTAAAGGTGACTAAAAGTAAAGCTGTGAACAAAAAAAGGAAAAGCTGTTTGAGAATAAGTAAAATTAAAACTGCCCTCTTGTTATTACGTTTTCAGCAGTTTCTTGTTGTTTATTCCCATCGCTGCCTTTGTAAAAGGGTCCATTTTTGCCACGGCCTCATTTTTTTTCAGAGGTTGTTAACCACGGCATGTGAAAAACCGTTTTCTTTGCTTGCCAGTGCTTTTTTTTACCGTGCGGGCAGTTCAAAAAACAAATAACAAAAAAAAAACTTGAAACTCTATTAATCAAAAATTGGCTTACTAGGCTTTATCTGAAGATTTTAACACTTGTTTTGTGACCTTTCTCTGTATTTGTAAAGGACACACAGCGTGTTAATTATAAAATGCTTGACCAGGGCAAATGATCCGGGCTTAAGCGAAGGCTTCTTAAAATCTGGCTTAACCATTCCCGTTAAGTACTTTCAGTGCATGTAATATATGCAAGATTTTGCAAAGGGAACAGGCAATAATAAAGTGAAATGACCTAAAGACATGGAAATGTTTTGAATTCCCTTAAGAACAATCAAAATCAAAAAACACTGATTTTCACTTGACTGAACAGCAATGCCTCTGACTGAACATTTCATATTTGGACAACGTTTGGGCTCCTTAAGCGGCGATTCAGAATATTTTTTTTAACATACACAATAAAATGAAGACTATACCTGCCTTATTTTCCAATAATCGTCCTTAAGCCACCGCTAATAAAGTTCTTAAGAACCGATCTCGAATAGATATCAAAGGTATAAAGCTGCACGGCGGATCGACTCTGTGTATCTATAATATACAGAACAAATTTTCCCGTTCTAATGATTACAAAAATTTGTTTGATGTAATGGGCTGAGGTTTTTATTGTAACATTTATGACTTTTTCCTAGGAGAAATACAGCCAGGCTTAAAGTTTTCACTTTTTTAAAACATATCATCACCGTCTCATTGTCTAAAAAAATGTTCGAAGGTCCTCAACGGGCTGACTAGATATATACTGAGACTTTTTCAGCTCCTCGATCTGTCGTCGTCATTTAATTATAACGACTAAAGATTCAGGAATATTCTATATCAATCATGTTTATTCTAAGAAATGAGATTGCTGAATCATCGCCGCGCAGAACGGATTTCAAAGGAGTCATCTCCAAGCGGATATTATAATTGCTCAGAATCATTATCATAAAGAGATCAAAGTGTCCGGTTACAAAATAAAACTTTAATCCCCTCTTTTGCTTTGTTTGTATGTTTTGCCCTAGGGTACGTTATTGAACATAAATTGAAATCCCATTATAATTCCATTAACGAACCAACATTTTGGTAAAGCCTTGTTTTATAAGCACGCTTATGAAGACAATGGAAACCTGCCGAGAAAGCGTCGGACAAAACCACCACTCTTTTCATTACTAATGATATTTTCAGTATTTTGAGCACAGTTTGAATACTTCAGGCCTTTATCTAAATGGCCAAGAGAAAAAATTGTTGTTTGTCTAACATATCTCAATTCAATTCTTAATTAAAAACGCAGGCTCGCTTTAGTAAACGAAAACTAATCTCCCAAAGTTGAAAGACAGTCATCTAGACGCGTCAGAGCAAATTTAACTTTCTCCTTTATCCAAAAACAATACCGTAATGCAATACATATTTTTTGAAATAATTCGACCTTTTGTGAAATAACAAAAGTACGTAAGTTAGGTGTGAATAGTCATATACCAAGAGGAAACTCTTTATAATACACAAATTACCATCACCACTTCCGCAGTGCCAAGTATTATTGTTTGAAGATAATGAAATTATCTTTAAAGCGTGGTTCTTAACCGAAAGGTGTTATACCTACAACCCAAATTAGGTTACCGAAAGCAAATATATATATACGAGGAGCATTTGGATCTTCAAGTTAGACGCTTTGGGAGTTGCTGAGAGTTTCTACATTTTCGGTCAAGCTTAAAGGTAAGTCCCCTTGGCTTTATCGGCTTCAAACCAACATCAAGACGGTTTTTTCAATGCATCATTCTAGTCAAAATAATATTAAATTTTTATTATAAAGAAAGTTCTCTAGCTTGCCAAGTACATATCGTATGGTTTTTTTTAGAAAGGACAGACGGCTTTTGTTATCGCGCTGCTGATTTTCTGACATTTTGAAGGTATGCTTTTCGACTGTCTTTCAGAAGTTCAGGATCTTTATTATATCACTTTTATTAGGAGTTTTTTTTTTCAAAGACTTTTCCATCGACCCAGAGGACAAATATTTGTTGAAGGATTTAAACATTGAGACTATTTTTAGTTTAGTAACGGAATAAGGAGTGATGAACAGGCCATTCGAGAGGATTACTCAGAGGACAGAATTGTAAAGTAATTAAAAAGGGCTTTTTTGAAAAGGTCGTTGAATAGATGCTTTAAAAGCAACCCGGAGGCTGTTGAGGTCGTTTGACTTTTCACTTGCTTTTAATTTTCAAAATAGCCTCAAAATATTACATAAATTTAATGTATTTTGTAACGTTACGACTTGTCATTTCTTTATTGAATCCCCCGCAAGATCGGAAACTGCTCTTGTCTTATTTTCTTGTACTGAGTTTTTTTGTAACATTTTTGACTTAAAACAAGACTTTGCCCGGCTTTCCTTCGATTCATTGTTTGAATTGAACAACATGAGATTTATAAAGTGGATCGGAGCAAAGAACAGAGTATATACTGTCACGTTTGTGACATACTAAAATGTACTTGAACTTTCAAGTTGAACAATTGGCTGAATAAAACACAATTCTTGGATTTTTGTTCTTATAGCGTGAAACTTTTGTTCAAGAGCTGGGGGTAGAAACACGTTAGGCTTCAACATCTGTTGTAATTAATGTTTTTTCAGTAGTTCAGTT